GTGGGGGGAGAGAGACAGAGACAGAGAGAGAATATGAATATACAGGTGTCCATGGAGGCCTGAGATGTTGGACCCCGTGGAGCTGGAGTCACAGGCGGTTGGGAGCTGCCTGCATGGGTGTTGGGAGCCGAGCCCAGGTCCTCTGTAAGAGCACCATGTGCCCTTAACCACCGAGCCACCTCTCCAGCCCTAACTCATAACAAGAGCCGACCACTCACACTGCTTAGTATCCTCACATCCAAACCAGAGGTCAAGAGATGAAAAACAATGAAGGAGAAGTCTGAGGAGCCTATTAAAGCAATCCTTTGCCCCAATTTTTCTGATATAATGGGTATGAGAAAGGCCTGCTTCCGCCTGAGTCCTATTATTTAACTTTTGACATTAGGCCCTATTAAAAAGACAGCATCTATACATGTGGTTTAAGGAGTGATGAGGAAGACCTCGGACTTCTGGAAGTAGAGTCCAAACGCTTCCTCTGTCCCATGATGTCACAGAAAAGGAAGAGCTGAAGTGTTTTTACTTCAGAGATGCCGCCACCTCTTAGGGATTTAGCTTATGCTCAGAAAGACACAATTTCCTTTCACTCTTGACTGCCAGCAGTGAGATGGGAGAGGACCTAAGTGGCATGGAGGTCTGCTTGGCCAGGGACATTTCACCGCAACAGGAAGACTGGCTGATTGTGCAGGACATTTTGGGACTCTCCGCCGTAGGCTAAGCTTGCCTTAGGTAAGAGCACCCCTGAAAAGCTTGCCTTAGGTAACAGCACCCCTTGAAAAGCTTGCCTTAGGTAATAGCACCCCTTGAAAAGCTTGCCTTAGGTAACAGCACCCCCTGAAAAGCTTGCCCCAATGTGGCTCTGATGCTGCCAGGAGTAACCCCGAGAGACAGGCCAAGGTCACTCTTCTCTCACCTGTTCCAAACAACTAACTATTCACTAACTATTCACTGTCTGAGCTACCTTCTTAATGTACAGAAGTCAACATTTTCACGAGATTTAAAAGATGCAAATAAATTACTGTTCAAAACCATGAAGTATATTCCTTTTGTGCATCAATTTCTAGTGGACTCAACTATCTGCCTCATACAAGGAATTAAAAGAAGAACTTTTTTTTTTAAATCAAAGAATCAAAGGTTTAAGTATTTGTTTTTTCTTTTTGTTCACAGTAAAGACCATTCAGGGGAATTTTTCTGTCCCATACTCACTAGGGTCTTGAGAAGACATTCCTGAGAGGATGGTGTGTGCTGGCCCTGGGAGCCACTGAAAATGTCTAGAGGTTGCTGGCCAGCCTCAGAGTGCCCACTGTAGTTGGAATGGGCAGAACTACCATCACTCGGGGGCTCCTGACTAACTTCTAGGTTGGTGGGTGCTTGCAAGTACCCCGTGAAGACGCCAGAGCCCTCTTCCCATGTTGCTTGGTCTCAGCATTCTTCTTAGGAACACCGTATTCATCCACAGAGACAGTCTAGCACCATGTAACTGTTTGAGAAGCAGCTCCCACTGGAAGGGCTCTCTGTGTCTTACAGATAAACCCCAGAAAGCACCCTGAACTTCTGAACAGGACGCTTGCTGGAAGATGGAGTTCCCACTTCAGTTATCAGCAGCCTGCCTGGAGAAGCTTTAGTTAAACGGACCTTGGGTTGGGACGAGGTGAAGATGAGCCTGTCAGTCTATGATAAACCCAGGCTCCTATGAGAACAATTTACAATAAGGCCGGCAGGTACTGCCCCGAGGCCCTACTCCCCACAAGGCCTCTCTGAATAGGGATGCCCTTTACTGAGCTGTTTGTGAAAATAAGCCCGCACCATCAGGTCTTTTCAGGGACTTTCCATGGAAGACGTTAACATTTTTTTTTATATTTGTTTTTACTTTGTAAGTATGAGTGTTTTGCTTGCATGTTTATATGTGCATCACATGTGTACCTGGTGCCTGAGGAGGTCAGAAGAGGGAATCAGGTGCCCTGGAACTGGGAGTTACACGTGGTTGTGAGCCACTTCATGGGTGCTGGGAACCGAACCCAGGCTCTTTACAAGAACATTGGTCCTAACCACTAAGCCACGTCTAAGCCCCACTTTAAGACATTTTCAAGGTAAGAACTTTATGAAATGCCATTTAAACACCAGGAAGTAGCCATGAAGGGGCTTTCTTTTGGGAGGTTGGCCTTTCCTCATATCAACCTCAAGTGCAGTTTTAAATGCTTTGCCACATCAAGTCGGGAAGCTTCCCCCTTTGATCAGTTTTACCAGCAACTTCTGCTTCTGGGCTTCTGAGAGTTCTAACTTGATGGAGCTGTACTAGGAATCCGCTAGGATGATAATGGTTTCTGTGGAGCTACTGGGTCCCTCTGCTCCAGGAATGGCTACTGGTCTAGGCGTACACAAGGTACAGGCCACGGCAGTTCCAAACGTACTCCCCCCTGCTTCCTGTAACTCGGCTAGCAGATTCTGCTCTCTAGCCAAGGATGGTGCTGTTAGCAGAGTGCTCAAAGGTTTAACTGGCAGCTCTTCAGGGACATACTTCTATTTAGGAAATGCCTATTAGGAAGGCTCTGGGGTAGGGTATGGCCAACACCTGCAATCGTAGGCCTCAGGTGGCTAAGGCTAGAGGACCATGCAACTTGAGGCCAACCTAGCTTACACAGGTTGAGACCTTGTCTCTAACCGTCAGAAACAAAAGGCTTTGTGATAATGATTGTTGTGGTCACCCTGTCTTGAAATGAAACTGAACCTAATTACTAAAGACTTTCATTCCTTCATGAAAAGAATGTAATGCTTCTAGGTCTTCCTTGGCATGCATGGCTCTGGGCGCCTCCTTGTGAACAGCTCTGGCAGCCAGGAAGAGGACAGAGTGTTAATTTAGAATGAGATCAGGTCCATACAGTTTGGGGTGCTAGAAAGGCAAAGCTTTACTGTTTTGGTAACTGACAACTTGTTTTTCCCTTTAAGGGATGGGAAAAAGTGTGAGCCTATCTGAAGAGCAGGGACAGACGGAATACCCTGGCACAGAACCCCATGTGGACGAAGGCCCCGCAGAGCCAGCAGAGAGAACCACTCCAGCCCCATGTCTAGAATGCAGAGTTACTGCAGTAGGAGTGGATGGTCACATCTACATCACCTGCTCTCCACGGACTGCCAGGGAGGGCGGAGACACTGGAAAGGAATAAAAATGCCATCCTGACAAAAGGAACCAGGCTAGCAGTGACATTTGGGACACTCTACCTCTTGTCACAACAGTGAAATCCTAACCAGCCCCAATTCCAGCCGAGCTTATTTCTTCATATGCTTCTTTGATTCTCTGGGAAGCTCCCTATTTAAAATGCTATCCACACAAACTTTCCACACACCCAGTGCGCATCACCGGTGAAACAGACTTCCGACAGAACTGCATGGTGACTCCTCCAAAGCACCATGGAGAGGAAAACCCTCTGAAATAATCAAGTCTAGTGTCTGAAGAGAGGAAGATATATCTATGCCCCTCAAGCAACACAAGCGAAGCGGAGAAGCAGGGTGTCTTGCCTGGGTCAGTTTTTGCCATGGCTGATCCATCAGCCTGCCTGCAGCAGCCGCCTTGACAAGGCTGGGGGCAAAATCATGTCCTGATTATTCCCACAAGTCAGTGGCTCTGGCCAGTCAATCCTGTGAGAGCCAAACTGCATTTGGATTACTGAAGAGAGGGACAGAACAGACTTGAGTGCCCTTGATTTAAGAATCATGGGTCCCCGTAAAAACACAGGACCACGGTCTACTTAAACAAAACACAGTGTTCCATACCCTTTGTGCAAGAAGACGCACTAGGTTAAGTAAAATTAAGCAGAAATCCCTTCCACTGGGTGAGATATGACACTCAGTTATCTGCCAAGGCTGGGGTTGTACACAGGACTAGAGACAGTAACTTCAAGGGACACAGACGTGGCCCAAACCACACACAACAAGTGATCAGCAGCCTGCTCAAAGCTACAAGCTTGCTTTGTGAGAGAACAGAGGTCTACACACCATCAGACCTTGCCATAATGGGGAAGAATGTTCCCTGAGGAAGGGTTAGTGCCACCCCCGCCCCCAGATCTGCAGCCAGTGAGGAGCAGAGACCCACAGAGGCACTTGGTGTAAGCAGAGCCCAGTAAGGAGGGGCCCACAGGGGGCCCTTCCCATGAGGCTCTGCACATCACTGAGGTCTCACAAAAGCTCACACCATCGCAAACATCTCTCCCTTCCAAAGTTACTTCACATCACCATCCCACCGCCCAGCAGCATCACCGTGTGCCTTGCAGACCTAGCCTGTCCTCTCCCCTGGTGTCTCACCTATCCTGACTTGCTCCCAGACCAACCTAAATAAATGGAGCTCAAGGGCTCTGACCTCAGAGTATAGAGAAAATACAAATTTGGTCTCTGGCAGTTTGGATTTTATTGGCGACCAAGGATGATCTCT